CAGTTCGAAGCCGCCCGGCAGGCCAGGGGCAGGAGCAGGAGCGGCACGTGCCCAGAGTCGAGCTTGCCGTAAAGGTCTGGGCGTCACCTCATGAGGGAGGGGGCAGCGAGGGCGACATGAGGTGACGCCCAGAGTCGAGCTTGCCAGGGGGGGGGGCGATGAGGAGGGAGGGGGCAGCGAGGGCCGCAGAAGAGGGGCGCCTTGGGGCCCTTGGAGGGGCCCTGCGGGGCACAACAGGGGGCAGTCAGGGCCCGAGAAGTGCACTTCTCTCCACCCCCGATTTCCCCCCCACTACTTCACACCCAAAAGGTGACTGATGTCACCGGCCAAGTCCAGACGACCACCGCCACCACGCGGTGAAGTAAGCATCGCACGAGCAGGTACAGGGGTGATAAGCAAGGCGACGAGGGCGATCATGCAGCACAGGTATGGAGGAGGAGGCGGAGGAGGAGGAGGTGGAGGAGGAGGAGGAACGGGATGAGTAGGAGGAGGAGGAGGAGCAGGAGGAGGAGAGGGAGGAGGGAGGAGGAGGAGGGAGGAGGAGCAGGAGGAGCAGGAGGAGCGGGAGGGAGGGAGGAGAGGGAGGAGGGAGGAGGCAGGAGGGAGGAGGCAGGAGGCAGGAGGAGGAGGAGGAGGAGGAGGAGAATGATCAGGAGGATGAGGAGGAAGAGGAGGAGGAAGAGGAGGAGGACCCAGGAGGAGGAGGAGGAGGAGGAGGACGACGACGACGAGGAGGAGAGGAGGGAAGATGAAGAGGAGGAGGAGGAGGAAGAGGAGGAGAAGGGAGGAGGAGGAAGGGAGGAGGAGGAGGAGGAGGAGGAGGAGGAAGGGAGGAGTAGGAGGAGGATCATGATGAGGAGCATGAGGAAGGGGGTGATGGTAGGGAGCCTGCGAATCCGCCCAGAAGACCTCCATGACGGCGTCGTCGACGACGTCGTGGGGCCTGGCGTGCGAGCGGGGGGAACGTCAGGAGGGAGGCGTGTGGAGCGGCAGCTCCCAGGAGGCCCCAGGAGTCCTTTCCAGACGAGGGCCGGGGACGTCCACAGACCTTCGAGCCTCAAGTCTCGATCTCCTGGATCCTCGATTCTCGGTGTTCGGTCGCTCTTCGATGGCCTCGATATCCTCGATACCTCGAGCAAGGCTCGGGATAGGAGCTGCAAAGGTCAAAATGACCACTCCCGGCGGTTGGCTTAGCCATCCGCCGCAGGGCGATTTTGTGCTTGGCAGTACTCGGGAGCACTACCAGGGAGGCCAGACACCCCTCACAAGCCTTCCCTTGCTCGCGGAACTCAAGTCCCCGAGGTGTGCCGATCAGGATGCACCCAATGACAGCCTTCCCAGTAGGAGTCGTGACCGCACCCCCCGATGCGGCGAGGACTATAAAGTCAGGGCACTAGGCCTACACTCCCTGGGTCGGCTGCCACGGACCGCCGTCACGGCACACTTGCGTCTGTTGGAGGCCCCCTTTACCTCCTTGGCCTTGATGCCCTCCGCCGCCTCTGGGGAAAGACGGCCGTCGACAGATACTGCCAGCATCAAGTTACCCCTGGCCGCCACGAGGAGGCTTGCAGTCCGACTTTCGGCCAGGCGCGGATGTCTTGGATCGGTGGTGGTTCCCCCTGGCGGCGCCTCTGGCGCCGCGCCTGGCGCCGCTCCTGGCCTTGTCCCTGGAGCCGCCCCTGGAGCCGCCCCTTGCGCGCTCCGCGCGCCAGCAAGGGGGGGAGGGGGGGAGGCTCCAGTGCCGATCCAAGAAATCTGAGCGGACTCGTGAAATCCCGTGTTCATGTATCCAGCGCTTCTTTTTTATGATGGGCCGTATTGCTCTTATGCTCACCTTTCTGAAATCTGCGACCTCCTTGGCCACGATCCTCCCCCCCTCCTCCATGCGGAGGAGGGACAGGGGAGGCCCCGGCCGAGCGGCTGCCAGAGGTCCGAGATGGGGCCCGACGGCCTGACAGGAGTCGATCCTCGGTCTTCCTCTCTCTCTCTCTCTCTCCTCGGTGCCCTCGGTCCTCCTCCGATTCTTCCCGATCCTCTCTCAAAATCTCAAGAAGACCAGCTTTGATCCCCCCTCGATGTCCCAGGCACCATCGATCCTCCTCGATCCTTCTGCCCTCCTCCTGGGGAAAGGGGAGGGGCAGGGCGGGGCAGGGCGGGGCCGGGCCGAGCAGCGCCCGCCGCGCGACCGCCGCGTTCCCTTCGAAGGGAGGCTCGGAGGTCCCCTCGGGGCTTGGCGGGCCGCCCCCTCCCACGCCGCCTCCTCCTCCTCCTCCTCCTCCTCCTCCTCCTCCTCCTCCTCCTCCTCCTCCTCCTCCTCCTCCTCCTCCTCCTCCTCCTCCTCCTCCTCCTCCCCCTCGGGGCGCCACTGCTGCTGCTCCTCCTCGGACCCCTTCCCTCTCTCCCTCCTCATTCCCTCTTCCTTCCTTCCTTCTCCTCCTCCCTTTCTCGGGACCCTGCATCAATGAACCAGGTCATCCTAGAACGCAATGACAGACACTCA